TTATAAACCTGGGAGAGAGAGAGGGAAAAAATGTTGCATGGCAATGTAGCGTAAGTTTGTCATCTTTACAATAAACACATCTACATCACAGCAGTGTAAACATGTGGTTGGGATTGGAAAGCAAGGAGAGAGAAAGAGAATCGGTCAAGCGGAGTGAGTTCTGTATAAGCATTAAAAGAGATCTTGGCCTTGGCTTGTGCTTCACAATCACTGGGGTAGAAATGTAAATACCGAAATAAATGAAGCGAAATTAAATCAAAGTAAACAAAGTAATCATTCACATGCCATCTGCCCAACTGCTGAGCCATTTGTTTACCTATATCTGCCAAAATAGTTAGCCTTACTAATAACAAAAGTGATGAGGAGTGTTTACAGTATGCAGCATATTTAAATGAAAACATAAGCTTTGTTCCTAAACCGAGAGTTGCTTTGCTGGATGCTGTCTACAAAGGCAAGAACATCCAAGTCAAATTAATGGATAAACTGTTCCAACTGATTCATCCTTTTTTTTTTGATTCACTAAAAAGTACCGGCTCATAACAAGAGTCATTCGTCTGGGAAACGTTGTCACGCTGTAGGTTTTGATTCACTAAAAAAGCGCATTCGAGTCTTTTGCTCGGGAATCCGACTTCACTGTTCGTGTTGAATGTTTTTGTTCACTAAAATCAAACCACTTCATAAGAGACAGTTGCTCTGGAATCAGATTTCAGTAGTCACATATGTTTTGAAGCACTATCAAGAACCGACCCATACTAATATTTTGATCGGAAATCAGGCTTATTTGCACTGTATGCTTTTGATTCACTAAAAATAACTGGCTCATACGAGTCATTTGCTTTAGAATCAGATTTTACTAGTCACGCTGTATGTTTTGATTCACTAAAAAGAATCTGTACATAAGAGCCTTTTCTCGAAAATCTGACTTCAGTGTTTGCGCTCTATGTGTTTGATTCACGTAAAAGAGAACCGGCTCATTTGCTCACTACCGAGTCATTTGCTCACTAGTCATGCTGTATGCTTTGATTCACTATAAAGAACGAGCGAGTTGTTTTGCTCGGAAATCAAACTTCACTGTTAGTGTTGTATGCTTTCGATTCACAAAAGAACTTATTCATAAGAGTCATTCGTTCAAGGATCAGACTTTACTAGACCATGTATGACATATTAAGAAGAAAGGGCTCATAAGAGTCATTTGCTTGAGAATCAGACTTGCATAGAGTATTTTAGAACATTCAGAATGGTTCAGTATTTTTTTTTTTAAATGTAACGGGTTAACATGTTTCCAAACATTAGTCTTGAGGTGCTGAAATGCTACAGTTTGTTATCACTGCCTTCACTACCATATGATCCATATGTGTTTGGCATAGTTACATGGTTGCATGAATTCATTTACTTGCTTTAATCGCCACCAGCATACATCATTAGACATTACAATGGCTGTTTTGTCCTTCACGCCTGCCAGTTTTTCTTAGAGTCTAGCTGATTCTTGAGGATATGTGTTATTCCATCACTCTCTGGCACTGGATAACTGCACTTAAGCCTCCAAGCTGTGTTAGGCTTGACTTCGCTCCACTGTACCGTAACGCTCCTCTGGGTGTTACCATTGAAATGTCAGCCTGCCATTGCTGATCAGTTGTTCAACAGCTTCCAACACTGGAAAATAAACACCTTTCTCATTTTCTTCTACTACTGTCTGTCTACTGTTTTATTTTTTCTAGCTGTGTGTTGTTGTTTTTTTGGGAGGAGTGATGAGATGTGTGATTTCAGGGCCTCTGAATTCCTCCATTAATGACTCCCAGCTTTCCAGCTCTGAGAGGCTGGAGAGAGGGACTGCGACCCTGATGCTGATAGAACTGCTAAATGCTTCTCACACACAAACACGGACACTCTGCTGGAGTGGAAAACCAATATGGAGGTCTGCTTGGCACAGCTTGCTGCTGTAACACTTTTTAAAGATGCACTTAAGTCATTTTTTTCTCATTGAGTATTTTTGATGAATAAAATTATTTGAAATGATGTACAGTCACATGAGATGATTCCAGTCATAGCCTAATAAAATGCTTTATTACACATGGAGAGGGTCCCTTAATGGGGCAGCCATGTTATGATCACATGACCAGCTGAATACTACTTACTGTACTTTCGGCATGTTCAACCGCTCGATGTCTGACTTGAAGCATTGCATGCCAGTTATAAGTGTTGTCTGACCTGAGACACCATAGACGCCATGTAACTGTGACGTATGACATCAAAATATCACAAGAGTGATTTGAGAGTAGTCGGCTAGTTTATTCTATGTAGTTTCTCCAGAGCAGCTGTACTAGTTCTCCTGATGACAGAGCTGTTTCACAATTGGCTGATGGCAATGATAATGTGTGTTTTGTGTTTATTTTGACACCTTCACCTCACAAATCCATGTTTTTATAATAGTAGAAATTCTTGTATTATTAATGTTATGTTGTGTCATATTTATCAAAATAAAAATTTGATATAGACTCCACTCCATTGGTTTCTAAATAGTATAGGCTTATGTTGAACTTTATTGTTATGCATAAAGGCAAAGTAGGCCTATTAGGCAGTAAATAATGAAAAAATATTTCTGTTGCTTCATGGAAATGTCTAAATCATCTGTGCATTTGACAAATATTACTAAATATTATAAATATCTAATCCACTTCATCTGTGATAAAGTATGCAAACACCAAGTGAACATCGCTATAATTGCCTGACTTGATGGTTCCTTTTTTAACTTTTTTTTTTTTTTACCGATTGCAAATCTCGCTGATTGGTTAAAACATTTCAAATATTAAATGTTGTAATATTACATTATTTTATTATTAATGAAACATAGAGTATTTAAATAAATATTTGATACATCATTTTATTTATTCTTTTTAAAGACCACTTATAATGTTAGTGAAGGTCTCTTACACACAAAAAAAAAACTGTTCAGTCATAATTATTTTTCCCCCCTCTGGTTTACAAGATTCAATGTCAATGCCTTCTTTGCATGTGGAATGAATATGATACTAAAAGGTTGCAGGTTTGCTGTCAGGTTCAATATAGTTTGCGATGTCCCATCCTTCAGTAACAACTTCTTTGCAAAAGTCAGATAATGCCACAAGGTCACAGATTTCATGAGCCAATTTGACTGTTTAGTGTCAAAAAAGAGTCTTTTTGGAATCGTTTACACATTTATTTGAACCGAAAAGCACAAAGCTCATTTCGCAATAAATCTTAACGAACTGCAGCAAAGCGCTATTTCTGAGCCTAGATCACATCACATCACATGATTAGAATGTCAGTCCGGATTGGCTCATATAGGTTGTGCTCTTGTTGGCGTTAAAAGCACTTTCACCAACCACAGTCAGTGTTGCCAATTTAGCTATTTTGTAGCTAGATTTAGCGACTTCCCCACCCCTTTTGAGACTTTTTTCAAAAGTTTAGGGACAAATATAGCAACTGCTTGGACAAACCTTATCTAAGTTCTCATCTTGCCTACTGATCTACGTTCATCTTTATATAGATCAGTGAATTTGCCATTGTGATGTCATCTAGTGACATTTAGCTACCAGTTCTAGCTACTTTCAATTGAAAGCAGTTGGCAACACTGACCACAGTGCATTCAGAGAGCAAGTCACTGCAGTGTATCAAAGGATACAGTAGATTGAAACAAGCTTGGCAACTCCAGCGTATTAATAATAAATGGCTGCCACCCATGCAGCAGAGTTAGAAGGGGGCAGTCTGAATCAGTTTCCATCACTCTGTTTTTAAGGCCATATGCCCCTTTTCATTACTTAGAGCACACCAGCTGTATTGTAACTACAACCAATTTCCTCACAGTCTATAAAACTGTCAATCAGAATCATACAAGAGAGCCGAGCGCAGAGTAGAGCATGGCTGCCTGAACGGGGGAGATTGAATCTGTAGCCAGATGTCAGCAAGTCGAAATCCTGTGCGAGATAATGTTGTTGGACTTTCGTGACTTTAATGTAAAGTTCAGGCAAATTGATTAGGCTTCAAATGGAGCTGTTTGAAATGCACACAGGCTAGGTCAGGGAAATCACATAACATAACCAACAGTGGATTGGAAGGCTTAGTTAAACCAGTCAGGTTTGTTAGTTTTAGGCCCGTATGTGCGGAAATTCCTAATGACTGGGCGCTAGGTGATGAAAATACTAATGCTCAATGCAACAGTTGAGTCATGCAGGTCATAAGGTTACGCTAAAGAAATAGTCACGGGTAGCTACAATTTGAAGAATCATTTATGAAAAGGATAGCAAAGAGACAAATAAGTTATAATATTTTTATTTGTTAGAATTCTATCAGTGTTTGAACATTATTATTTAGAGAGCTAGTACATTTGTTCTACTTTCATGGCTAGCTTTTCACAAAACCCAAAAACAGTCTTCAGATTGGACTCACTCTCGTCTATATAACACTGTAGCAGGGGAACTTTAGTTGTCCGTGAACAAGTTAGCAATGCAAGTGTGCATCTTAATGTCTTCTCAGTTATGTCCTCACAAAAACGGTAGCATTACATATAAACTCTTTAAAAATATACTTCTGTCAAATAACTTGACAACTACTATGTACACTACAAAAATAAATTTTCATATAAATAATTTATATGGCATACATTTATCTTTGTAACTGAAAACGGAATACATCCACACCAAAACAAGGGAAAAAAATTCTGCAATTCAGGCTGTAAAAAAAAAAAAAAAAAAAAAGGATTATTTTCCTTTTAAAATCCTCTAAGAGCTATGATGAATCTGTAAGGTAAATGTCATATACTCTTTTCTTTCCTATTTAACATTAGTAACCACTTTATACAGATCAAAATCCATTAATGTAACAGAGAAACTGTAATAATAGTGTTTTCCGACAGACGTAAAAATCCCTGCATTGTTAAGAACTGGCATTATGACCATTATTGAACAAAACATCTTATTATACAAAAATATAAATATTGCAAAACAAATGTAAAAAAATAATAGAATATATATATATTTATATATATATAAACATTACAATAGTTGCCAGCCATGATTTTCTCCCATTTCTGCCAATGTGACATGAAGGAGAACACAAACACAACAAACAAACCACACAGAACAACTCTCAACAAGTCTTCGTCAAGATCAAACATGTTTGACAGGAAGTCAATCTGGACGAGGGGGTCACAGACAACACACAAACACACTCTTAAAGACACACACGCCAGCTTCAGAGCCACAGAAGAGTGGGGGCTCCACGACCCTTGACCCTTAAAGCACTCGCATGCACCATTTGGCAGCTGAGGGGGAACTTCCAATTAGTGTCACGGTGTTATGTTGTGGATTTTTATGAGGTGAGGTCAGCGCAGAGAACTGCTCTTGCTAAATTAGGGCCAGTAGTTGCAGTTTGTCATTGAGGAGGTCAACGAATCGACAAAAACCATTGACGCGACCAGCCATTGTGCGACGCACACCTTGAGAATGCTCATCAGCTTAGCTTATTAAAACAAACAAAAAAAAAGACAACGAGGAAAAAAGTTGCGCCACCAGAATCAGAGCGAATACTGTTGTAACAGTAATGTTTTAGCTTAAACCACTATTGAATGACAGAAAATAATGCCATAATGTAAAAAAACAAAGTTACAATGGAAACCCGAAATTACCGTTACACTGCATTACTTTAGTAATGCAAAGTTGAAATCATGAGCAAATTCAGGGTGGCCACAAATGGCCGATTTACAGTAAATAACTGGAGTATGAAGGTACAAAAGACCAGAGAGAGTTCCAGTACAGAGGACAGGAGAACAGAGGCACAGTCACCCAACAATCACTCCGTTTCCTTCTTCATTTCTGCGTAGCTAAAGTCTCACGCATAGCGTGTTTCATTGTTAAACAGTATTTGTTTTTTCCAACTACCACAGATTTGTGATAAGCAAATTAACATTAAAAAGCATCAACTCTAACGCTTCAATATACACAAAACGCAAACATCCACACACACGCTTAAACATCTGATGCTTGCTGACAAACAACTGGACATTAATGTGAACTTTTACATATCTAGCATATGTCTGAAAAACGTTTTCCCTGAATGTGTCCTCTGAAAGTGAATGTATCTGTGCAGTTTTGTACTGGTGTTTTGAACAGAAGTGTACCGTAAGTGCAATGCAAATCCATTTAACTGCCACAAAATCATTTAACATATTATGTTAGCTCACTTAGAGTTTGTTCTTGTTAGTTAATATGCATCTGAGGGGTCTAAGGGCTCTGACGGGAAACAAAAAATACTCATACATACATGCATACAACAACACATTTTCAAACTCTCACACGCACAGTTCTATAAAATTAAGAGAAAATAATTGCATAGCATTATACAAACATTACAACAATATCATAAGCAGCAACGACCGTATGCTGAAATGTTTGTCAAGAATGATGTTTCCTTATGGCACAGATACACAAATGATGGGTGGGCACTTGGAACACACAAGTCTGACGACCCCCGGTCAAATTATAGCTACTCTCGTTCATTATTTACATTTGTGTACACATAAATACTTTTAGAAATATCTAACAAAAATACACCAGGGTTATACAGTAACAGAGTCAAGCACCGAAAAGGCGCCGCTGGTCAAAGTGTCCCCGCCATGCAGCACCATGTTTCTGCCATGCTGGCAGACAGATGTCCCATCTTTGGCTGTTTGAGCTTCAACATTTAACCACTGTGAACACGAAGTGAAGAAACGGTTAATAGAAGTTAAAAATAGATTAAAATTAATTAATAATAACAAAAGTAAATCCACATAACTGAATCAGACAGAAATGTGTTATTAGCAATCGTTTTTATTAGGACTGTCAATTTGAGTTTGGAGTTGGTAAGATTTTATTTATGTTTTTGAAATAAGTCTCTTATGCTCACGAAGGCTGCATATATTTGATCAAAAATACAGTAAAACAGTAATATTGTGAAATATTATTTAAAATAAAGGTTTTCTATTTTAATATATTTTAAAATTGTATTTATTCCTGTAATGGCCATTACAATGGCAATGTAATGCAGCCATTAATCCAGTCTTTAGTATCACATGATCCTAGAAATCATTCTAATATGCTGATTTGCTGCTAAAGAAATATTATCTTCAGTTGAAAACATTTGTGCTGCTTGATAGCTCTAATCTGCTAAATGAGACTATAATGCATGAAGATATTAAGATACTATAAGCATTACCATCATGATTTTCTGTTAATCTGCTTTGAAATATTGTGCACTGTGAAAAGTGCTATACAAATAAAATTGACTTGACTTTATTTTTTGTGAAAACGGTTGTTCTTTTTTTTTTTCAGGATTCTTGAATATTAATTACTATAGAATAGTAATTTCAAAAGAGCAGCATTTATTTGAAATCGAATATTTTGTAACATTATCATTGTAATGTCTTTATTTTCTTTTTTACACACAAAAATCTTACTCACCCCAAACTTTTGAATGGTAGTGTAAATATATATGATAATATATATATATAACATATATTTTAATTAAATTTATTTTTAAGTAAAATTAAACATTAATTCATACTTTATCAATACTGATATGTATGAAGGTAGAATGACGTCAAAAAGATTTGCATACGCAGAGTAATATTTGTGGAAGTGTACATAAGACTGTAAGCGTAAATTAAATTTGCATGCGAAAGAGAAGCTTTGTAAAGGTGTAAATCGCATTTCAAGCGCAAGAAAAAAATATTTGCAGCATTTTACTGTTACTCGTAAGTGTAATTCATGTATTGTGAAACTGCAGCTTCATGCTAACGCAAAATAAATATGATCTGCATGCTTCTGACTTCCATGTTTCCGCGCTTACACTTTTGGCACGTTTTTTTCGCCAAAAGACGGTCAAAAGCACTGCAAGCCTGTGAACAGTGATTTGCAAGCGAAAACAACAGTTTAAAGAACTGCAAAAATCAGTAGACAGGTGAAATTATGCATGTATTAGGCTAGTGCAGATACTAGACCTTCTTTAAGTATCATCTTTAAGTATCATCAAAATTACAATTTTAGATTAATTTAAGATTAATGTCTTGGCGTATTATGTGTTTATTGGACCAATCAGATAAGAGTAAATGGAGAGTCAGCGAGAGGCTCATTTGATTGGCTACAAGAAGAAGGTGGCCCCGCCCTCCCCCTCACGCTTGCAAAACTCAGTTAGTGAGAGAATCGTGCCAAAATTGTAAGCGCAGAGAAAAGAAAGACGGAGCTGTACATATCGGTTTATTTCGGGAACTTTTTGCCCCACATACACAACAAGTCATTTAGACATTTGCAACAGTTAGTTTTGTACACATACAGATTGGTTCTATGCAGTCAATCCATTTTGCAGTTCTTTAAACTGTTGTTTTCGCTTGCAAATCACTGTTCACAGGCTTGCAGTGCTTTTGACCGTCTTTTGGCGAAAAAAACGTGCCAAAAGTGTAAGCGCGGAAACATGGAAGTCAGAAGCATGCAGATCATATTTATTTTGCGTTAGCATGAAGCTGCAGTTTCACAATACATGAATTACACTTACGAGTAACAGTAAAATGCTGCAAATAATTTTTTCTTGCGCTTGAAACGCGATTTACACCTTTACAAAGCTTCTCTTGCGCATGCAAATTTAATTTACGCTTACAGCCTTATGTACACTTCCACAAATATTACCCTGCGTATGCAAATCTTTTTGACGTCATTCTACCTTCATAGATATGATTTAATATTATTATTAAATATCTGAATCAATTGACAACCCTATTTATACATAGAGTGCATGAAACTGCTGATTTGATGTGGACCATTTTACTTGAATTCAGCCGTATAAGAAGCCCCTCTACTAACCTCAGCTGGAGGGTCTTGTGTGACAGACATTGGGAGGGTCATATTCTAGATCCTGCAGTTCCATGCCCTCCATTTTCGAGCTGTCGTTGCTCTTGTCAAAGGGCACGTTAGGGTCAGAGAAGCAAGGGTCAGTGTAGACATCTTCTGAAGTGTGATAGCTGTCGTTGGAGGGGTAGGCGGGGCTCTGGCCGGGCATCCCCGAATGAACGGCGACCGTCACCGAGGCCGAGGCTGTCACCGTTGTGATGGGCTGACAGTAGGCGGGGCCTGTGGACGGATGAGAAGGGTGAGTGTAGGGGTTGTGGGAACGGGGGCGATGGGCTCCTGAACGTTCCCGGTGGTTAGGGCCTGGCTCAGTAGCGGTTTCAAAAGCATCCATGCGCGGCCTGTGAGGGGGGGGCGGATGTCCGCTCCCAAAATCCCTCTTAGGGTCCCTGCTACAGTATCGCTTTGACGTTTGAGGTCCAGCATCCTGAGAACTGGGCAGATGGGTGGACCTGTAATGCTGCGGTGGTTGCTGCTGTCTAGAGTCATCCTGTGGAAAACATTGTAACAATGTTAGTTCATTGTTTTGATGTCAAATTTATATTGCTATAAATGCTTTACTCACTGAGCAAGGAGGAAACATTGGCAGTTCAACTTGACGACTGCCTTGTCGTCCCCCTGTGGCGATCCGCACCTCCTCCAGTCTGGCTGATCGCCCCCTGTTGGGCTGGAGGTCATACTGCTGAAGCTCCTGGCTAATGCCAGACACAGTAGTGTTGGAACCATATTCTGAGTCTGAGGAGTCTGATCCTGCTCCAGGGGTCGTGTGGCTGGGTTGCATTGTGAAGCGGACCACCTGTGGGGGAGGCTCTGGAGAAGGGGTGGGCAGCCGGCTTCGTCCGTCTACTGGAGATACCTAAAAGTGTAATGGACATGAAAATCAAAATCTGAGAAGATGCTGTCTCTGACATTAGTGCAAATCCTGTGATATGGGAAAGTTTTAACATCATCGGAGAGTACACTGCTAGTCTTGAATATGTGAATTGGCTCTAAGAAGTATTTGGACAGTTTAGCCACACTTAAAAATGCTGCTGTTATGATCAATTACCAATAAATGGCAGATAATTAAAATGCTATGCTATTTTGTTTAACTAAATTAAAAAATTAAACTAAAATCAAGGATTTTAAATGCTACAAGTGAATTTAGGCATCACAACATTATATTGTACGGTATTAAAATGGATATTTGTTTTCAGATTTGCTACAGATTACATTAAACAGTGTTATTAAAACTGGTGTTTTTAAAAATGCTTTTATGGCTCATAAAGTATAATAATGGTGAATATGGAGCTCAACCTCTGGGAGGAAAAAAAACACCTCAATTTTATTCAGAGGCCCAAACTGAGCAAAATTTCCAATTTCTTGCAGTTGCTGATATTTATATGGCCAAAGAGGTAAGATGAAATTCTGATAGCCTGTAATTTAAATGAATTATATTAATAACAGTATAGCAGACTACTTACATAAAATGCATATAATTATCAGTTGTAACCCAATATGTTTTAGTAAGACAATATTTAAATGCTTAGTTCTATGATCAAAGCTCAGTGTTTTTTTTTTGTGGGGGCAAAACATGTAATGATGATTGAGTGATGTACTGTACATAAAAACATTCCTCAGAAGCCTTATGTATCATGTTTGATACTTACATTTTAACATGATTTTCCTAAAAAATGATGTATGGATAATCAAGTAAACCTAAATTTACTTGCTAAACAAGTATAAATTGTCAATCAGATGACAAAAGGCAGGTTTGTGTACAACAGTTTTTTTTTTTTTTAGCAAAGTTTGGATCTTGTTGATAATTTAGAGGTTTTAGAAATATGTGTATCAAATATGTCAAATGATGACAGCAAAGGTCAAATCTGAATTTGCAATACTGGCATCCCTAAATGTCACTCTTTCAGATAATGTTAAGCAGAGTTTATACTAACTCTGCATAGCTCTATGTATGGTATGTGAAAGTGTTATGCAGGGTAACTTAACGGGAGCAATTCTCTTACCTCAGGATAAGGGCCAAAGTAGGACAATAAGACTGGGAGCAGCACCAGTCCATTCAGGACCCCTAACACTGTTAGGATAGCCAAAACAGCGAAGAAATACCTGCAAATACACAGCAAAAAACACAGTCATTAGAATAAAAAAAGAACTTTACTGCGCTGAATCAAGCACAGAGCAAAAGTCACTCAGGCAAATTCTAACAAACATTCGCACACAAAAAGACTTTAGTCGGGTTTGGTTTAAAACAAAATTTACCTTGTGCCAGAGAAAGTCTCCAAAGAGATCTTTTAGAAAGCAGCACAGAGAAGCAGAGGACATAATTAGTTGGTTAATTCAAAGGCATGGAAAATAGGGAAGGAAAAAAAGAGCGAGTTTTTTTCTTTTTCTAGGGGTGAGTGGAGTACAAGCAAAACGGGAAGGAATGTGGAGTACAGGCTTGTGAGAGAAGAGAGGCAAAGCACAAAGGCACAGGGGCCTCTCTCACTCTTTAAAAAAAGAACGCAGAAGCAAACAAATGAAGTGAACGGTATAGAATTTAAACAATTTAGTCTAGGAGGAAGAGAGGAGAGGAAAGACTACAGGCCCCTCTTGCCTTTTCCCTTTTCCCTCTCTTTCTCTCTCTATCACTCTTTCTATACTAAGCCCCTGTGAAATTTCCTGAAAACAACTCTTACTATCTTACATATTTTGCTTATCAAGTAAATTTATCTTGTTTTAAGGATGTACGTATATTATTCTTGGATTTTTCCCCCCCCAGTGATTCTATCAGAGGCATTGGAGGGGGAAAAAATGAAGTTAAACCACACTTAAATGGATGAATACAATCTCCTCGACAAATCCCTCCCTTCTGTCCTCCTTCGCTCCCTCGCTCTTTCTCTCTTCTTCATTATGGCCAGCTTTCCGTCCTTCGCTACTCCAGCAATGCATCTGTGTAAATTGCTACAGCTCAAATTGCAGGTGTCATTTTGTACCTCAAAGAAACGCAGGGACAAGAGGACATTTCTTGTTGTTGTTTTTTTATTTTAAACTTTGAATTTACTTCTTTATGTACAAAGATAATGGCATTTTGGTTTAATATTACATAATAGAGAATATCTATTATTTAATATTAATTAATAGGGAAACACTAGTTATTTTATGCAATGCAAACAATTATTGCATTGATTAGTCTGCTTTCTTATTTTCTAGTAAAATATCTAAATATCTATAAAACAAGACAAATTTACTTGAGCTGAACTGTGAGAGAACATTAGGCCTATTTTCATAAAATATTGAATTATATTGTATATATAAATTAAATAAAAATTTAAATTCT